GTGGTCTACTTTCAGTGTATTCCAAGGCTTTTCAGCTGCTTTGCCTTTGCACTGTGCTGTATTAGTATTTTTCAGGCTCATTTTTTCTAAAGAAACAAAAGAAACTCCAGAGAAATAATGAGGCACGTAAGTACCTCGAAAGCAAACTGTGAACGCAAATAAATCTACTAGGAATAATAAAAGCTCCCTCCACAAAAAATAAAGTATTGGGTATCATACTTAATGATCTTTGTTCTATAATAATTTTTTAGTACAGTGGAACAAAGTCTTTGGATGGAGGATTTGCATTGCTTATCCATTATTTCATTACAGTAATGCCATATTTTCTGCAGCACTCACAGCTGACAGGTAATAGCATAAACATTCTCTGCTGCTGTTACATTAAAAGTCATAAATCTGCAGCTAATACAGACTGATATCACCATTATTCTTAAAAGGAGAAAGTTGGAAGTAAAGAATCTCAACTCATAATTAGGAAATAGCTGGTTTTTCTAGCACCTCAGATGCATTTCTTCTTTAATGATTTAAACTATGTATTAGGGAGGGCTATAGGAATGAAACTAGAGCTCCAGTCTGCTCTGAGTATGATGTGAAAGTGCCAGTGATGCTCTCAGCCATGGCTTTGTGTCCTTGGTGTGGAGCAGGTAGGATCCAAGCCAAGTCTGTGCATCTTGGAGACACTCATTAACACTGTGTGGAGGCAGCAAACTTCCACTCTTCTGTTGTGTGCCAAAAGCTATTTAATCTTTAATGAGAAGTGTTTATTTTTATAATAAATCCATCAATCTGGAGAGGCAGTGAACCATCCTTCCCGGAGAGGGGACTGATGGCTGTGGCAAATAGCACTCCTGGGACGGGAAGGGAGCGGCGGATGCTGCGGGTGAGAGCGGCTGTGACGGCTGTGACAGGCTGCAGGGGCTTGGATCTGGCTTGTCCAAGAATCTGAGACACTGTCTTGGGTTTCTTAAGCAAATGGCAAAGCTATGGATTACATTTTTAATTTGTCCTTGGACTCACCTCGAGTCTCTTTGCCAGCTCTCCGGAAAAAGCAGCGCGCTCCGAGGCTGTCACCCTTCCAGAATGAGCACATGTCAGGCCTGGAGGCTGCAGGGGAGGTTAGACATGGTCATGCTCATGATAAGGTTAAAATCTAAGTGAGGTTATTTGCCCAGTTTATTTCTCTAACTGAGATATGGGTTCTTTTCTCTGAGATATGGAAATTGTGCTTCCAGCACTTTCTGCTTCCAGGAGGGAGGACAGCTGCTGCGTTTTCAGAATGTGTTTGGTGTGATCAGAAGTTTGGTGTCTGCCAACAACATGGTGATTATCAATCCTTGTGTTTCATCTGATTGATTCTGCTTGTTGAAAGATGGACTCTTCACTGGGGCTGCTTTGCCTGCCTCAAAGCATCGCAAAGTGTTGAATGAACTCTATGTGAGAGCAATAATTTTTCTAACACAATGTCAAAAATCTCTTACTCTGTGGGGTTTAACATTCTTTTAATACTTTTATCTTTGTGCAACTATATTATTATTTTGAAAGGAGGAAATGCTTGTGCTATTGATGTTTTTTCACTGTGCCAGAGGGTGAAGAGGGGGATGAATATTCAGTTTCTTCAAATGAAACTCACGAGTGGCCAGAACACAACAAAAGCTGATTACTCACCCAAAGTACAGGCAAACCATGAAAGCACTTGCTATGACATCCTGGGAGTGCTGGAAGTCTCTCTGTGCTAATAAAAGTAATGGGATTAGTTCATAAAAGCCAATTCATGAATGGCTGATAATGCAGAGACATTGTTCTGCCTTTGCCTTGGTTTGCTAAGCAATTTACTTCTGTGGATGAGCTCATAAACGTCTTTCATACCTGGAAACACATACCTGTTCCTTGGGAGGGCTGTACACTCTGGTGATAAATGGCTGGATAGATAGATTTGTCATGCAAAATACTCTCTGCTTTTAACTATGTTAACGTAGTCCTTGCTTGGAGAACAGAGGCTCAGCCGAGGGAATAATTATAGCTTCAGAATCCAGAACATAATATTTTCTTTTATTAGGTAAGCAGTTGTAAGCCCATACCGAAATTGCTTAATTTATACTTCTAGCAATGCCCTGAATGTAAAATACACCAAGTGAGCATTCTTAGAAATATTAATATTGTGATTCTCACCCCATTTTACTCAGAATTTGACAGCTAAATTTTATATACAAGTACACAAAATGCTGTGAATTTTGAGGCCTTTAATTAGTAGTTGCAAATTTGTTTGTCCCTTAGCAACTTGTATTTGCATAAAGATTAAGGCTGGTCAGAATGAAAGGGATAAAACATAGATGGCGGAAGCATTAATAAATTAGTAATCATGTATAAAAGATAAGTAGCCTTAGATGTCGTTTCCATAAGCTTTATTAGCATTGAAATTTTTTTTAAAGCTGCTGTTAATATTTTCTCCACAGTTGATAATTTCTAAAGAGAGATCTGCAGAATTAGAGAAATGAATGTATTGAGGTCAGACATTAGTATGTAAATGAAGCTTTGCTTTTTTCTGTGTGGCAACAGAAGCATTACCTTATATCTGACCTCTCCTTCATTTGCCTGACTCAGCTGTGTCAGTCAAAACAATTAATTCTAATGAGCAGCTTTAAAGTGTGGGGCTCAGCTTTCTTCTCCTCCCCGTGCCTGCTGGGAATCCCACCAGAGAGGAGTTAATGGAGGGAAACTGGGTGGGATTCTCTCTCTGGAGACCTGCAGTTTGTGGTCCCTTCCCCACAGCCCCACTGCAAACCTGTCCGTGGACAGTCTGCAAGGTTTCCAGGGCTGAGCACCGGCACAGGTTGCCCAGAGAAGCTGTGGCTGCTTCATCCCTGGAAGTGTTCCAGGCCAGGTTGGAGCAATCTGGGTTCGTGGAAGGGGTGAAACAAGATGAGATTTAAGGTCCTTCCAACCTAAACCAGTCCTGGATGCTATGACAGGTAACATCACAAAAATGTGTACTTTTGTATTTTCCAGCTGACGGATGAGTTAGACATGGAGATGAAAACCCTCCTCACATTTGCTCTGTTGCTGGACTTGGAGCTGTGTTTCTGCTCTTTGGAGCTGTTCTGCCAACGCTCACACTGGTCTTTGAGTGCATGACCCTTGGGGAGTTGTGTCATCCTCCTCACCCTTATGCTGTGGCCATGGCAGATGGCAGTGAAACGCAGGAGGAAACGTAATGGTGCATTGCAAGGAGTGTAATTTGTCTGAGTGCTAAGGCACAGAAGAGGCTGTGCACTGCTTCCCTGCAAAAACATGCAGAGCACAGTAAGATTCTGCATTACAGACACCAGGCCTGGCTGTACATACCTACCTAGTTTGTCTTTGCTGTGTTTAAACCACACTGAGGTGAGCTGTACATACCTACCTAGTTTGTCTTTGTTGTGTTTAAACCACACTGAGATGAAAGCACAAAAGTGTGTTGAATAGATCTACAGCTCTTATGCAGGTTTGTGTGAGAAAGTCTGAGCTTCAGTGAAGGTGCAAAATACAAATTTCACTGTAATTCAAATTCTATGATGATACTAATTAAGCTCTAGTGCATTAGAAAAGGAAGTGTAAGGAAATCTTGGGGGAGGGAGCTAGAAAATGAAAATAAATCATTCAGCTTTATAAAGCAAACTAAGAAGTATATTCCTTTTTTTTATTTTTTACTGAAACAAAGTACAAGATTTGGCAATAAATACTAAATTAAGTTTTCTTGTTCTGATTTAAATATTTCACAGACTTTCCCAGTGTGTAAGTGGAAAGGAATGAGATATGTAGTAGCATACAAAAAAAGCTAGTTTGAATTTTAAAATGTTTTTGTAATGAGAAATATGGATTTAAGAGCTATGTCAGTAGAAGTCTGAAATGGGATGCTGGTTCTGAGTTTTTATGCATGACCTCAAAGGCAGCTGAAGGCTTTTCTCCATGGAAGGCAGGGGAAGGAGGAAGTTCTAGGTGGTAGTTTAGAGCCTCTGCTTTATTGCATTCAGGAATATTTTATTTGATCGTAACACGGTTTTTTTTCTATGACCCTAACACAAACCAAACATAGTTCCCTTTAATAATTTGGCTGTGTCCATTCCCCCTCAGCCAGGGAGAGTCTTCTGTGGCTCTGGACGGACAAGGCTCCAGCCTCGCTGGGGCCAGAACTTCCTCCTCTGAAGCTGATCCCTTTCACTGTCTCTTTAGTGTTTTCTGTACAAAATGAGATTTCCTCAGCTCTGCTTGTGCCTTTCAAAGTAAAGCTTTATAATTTTTTAACTAAATACATTAATGATGAATGAATAATGTACAATCCAAAATGCTCTTGAATTGAGAATGAGAATGGGTTCGGCGCTTCCAGGCGTCACTTAATGGGAGTTATGTTGAAAACAGCACAACCTTCTCTCCTGCTGAGTACAAGGTTGCACATTTGGTCAAGGTCTGGCTCAACTGGCTGAAGATTTGAATGTTTAAATTCATGAACAGACCTTTTAGGATTAAAAATAGAAGCCTGTGTGCTTGTTGTTTCTTGGCTGTACATCCGCTCGCTCTTTTGGCAGGTGTTCCATGGCAGTGAAACCCCCATCTGATCTTACATGAGAAAGAACAAAGCTAATAACTTGTTACTTTAAGCTTTACTTAACTAATGACAAAAATAACATTATTTTTCTACCTTGCTGTCGGCAGCGAAGAGGAAAATTATCAAAGCTCTACCTAAGATTGCGATTTATTTTTAGAGATTTTTAGTCTTTTATCTTAACAGTGATTGCATGTATAGACATTTAGTGAACAGAAGTGTGGATAGAAAAGAAGTACCAATTTTTTAACACCAGGTGCTTTGTGACCCTCAGCGTGATGTTCCCACCTGAGCTGCAGTGTCTTGGCATCACGAGTACCACGAGCAACCTGGTCTACTGGAAAGTGTCCCTGCCCATGGTAGGGGGTGGAACAAGATGAGCTTTCAGGTCCCTTCCAACCCAACCTGTTGTGTGTTGCAGGTGTCAGACTTTGGAGCACGTGCCGGAAGCAAACGAGGAGCTGCTGGACGCGGGGCCGGGAGAGCAGCCGGAGGTGGATGCCCCCAGGAGCCCCGAGGCTGGGCTGCCCTCCCTCTGCCTCAAGCAAGTCTTCCCCAAGTATGCAAAGCAGTTCAACTACCTGAGGCTTGTGGGAAGAGTGTCTGGACTATTCATGAGTGTCTGCACTATTCATCCGATTTCTTGGGGTCAAGGGGACGACGAAGTTGGGACCAACAGGTTTCCGAACCTTTATAAGGTTAGTAAAAGCTAAAGTAGTAAAAAAGTAGTAAAACCTGCCCCTAATAGTGGTACACTCTCAGCCTGGAGGTTTGGTAAAGCCTCCCAAAGTCCCATTGAGCCATTGCCTGTCTCATTACAAAATAGATATACCCAAAGTCCCATTGAGCCATTGCCTGTTTCATTACAAAATAGATATCTTTCTCTCATTCCAAGCTCACGGAATCCCTGACCTAGGAATCTGTGTCTAGGAGGAAGTTGGGTCTTTGTTTGACAGCAGATCAGTGACACTTTGGCAGATACAATTTGCAGTCTGCGTCAACATGTCACGTCCCCAGTAAATGGTAGAAATACCATTGTGAGAAAGTGACAACTGAAATTGGGTCACTTGATGTGATTCTGCTGGCTGTGGGGGCACCACTGCCCACCCCAGCAAGGATTCCCAAATGTCAGCTCCTGATGCACTGTGCAGGAAGGATTTGCATTGTGAAATTGCACCTTGCAATGGCAAGGAACTCAATTTATTTTTTCACATACTTTTTATTTGTGAGGAGTTTTTTTCCTCATTTTTTATGGATGTATCTGTTCTAGTCATGGTACAAATATCTCATTTTCTGTCTTTCATTGACTGTGGCAAAAGAAATGAGCAGCAGCAGCAGATGTACTCTTAAAACACAGATCCTGTTTCTATGCAGATGCATTTAGCATTCAGGAATGAATATAAACAATTTGGTTTATAGAAATTACAATATATAGAAAATGAGTGAAGGCATCTGCTCTGTCCACAGCCCAGCACAGCATTGCTTCCAGTTCTGTGTTGTCTGTGGTTTGATCCAGCCTTATTTTGGCACTTGTCAGAGGAACACAGGATAAATGCCAGCATTTTCTGTTAAGAACATTAAAATAAACTGCCATATCTCAATGAAATAGTATTTGCAATTTCTTAATGCATGTTAAATTAAACTTTTTAATGTTGGCAGATATTTTGCTGATTTTTCTCCCAGAGTATCCATACCAGCTGTGTGGCCCTTTTCTGAGGTGCTTTCACTGCTGCTCGTTTCACAAGGAAAGTCAGGTTTCTGTGTGCTGCATCACTTCTCAAGGATAAAATGGTCCACAAGTGGGACTTCATGTGTGGGCACACGTGTGTGGGCAAGTGCTTGCAGGACTGTCCACCCAGATTTTGGCTAATCAAAATCTGTTCTCCTTCAATATGTTCTTCATTCTAAAAACTAACCAGAAGGGAAACACTCAGTGTGTCTCTAGTCCTTACTTGGATGAGGAAACACTCAGTGTGTCTCTAGTCCTTGCTTGGTGCTGCCTGAGACTTTTTGGGACTATCTAGGCCAGACCTTACTCTCTGTTTTCGGGGAGCTCTGCTGGGGTTAGCGATGAGTGAGAGCCTTTTCTGTTATCTAGGTTTGGGGTGGGGGCTTGTTGTGTTTTGTTTCTCTTTTCTGGCTGGAAGTTTTGGCCAGCTCTTTGGCACATGCACTGGTGGCAGCCAGGCTGCCAGACATCTGGAAATCCTGGACAGACAGCCAAATCCCATACTCTGATCAGCACTGCACTGTGGGCTCAGACCACACAAGTGTCCACTCTCCATGTCCCCTGCAGCCCGAGCTGCAGCCAGAGCTGTTGCTGCTTCCCATGCAATGCTCAGCACCATGAGGGCAAATCTCTTCGGTGCTCAGGCATGGAGAAATAATGCTGTGCCTGAAAGCTTTCCTCCAGCCCTTTTCAAACAGGATCAGTCAGACAAATAAAAGAGTATTTCCCTGTGCAAACTCTGCCTCGTGCAGAGTGTGTGTGGTTTTGCAGTGTACCAATTAATTCCATTCAGTTACAGAGCACTGGCAATAGCCTGGGAGAAAGCTCTGTGGAATGGGCAGGTCATAGTTTTAATTGAGATATTCAGGGTTTGGGCCTGTTCTGCCTCAGATATGAGCACTTAATGAGTGCTGGTCTGTTTGCTGTCTGCTCTGTGTGTTTTATTAGGCTGAGCGTGTTACAGAGGCTCTGTACACATGACATGAGTACATGTTTCTCCTAGTTGCCCTTGAAGAATTTTTGCTAACTTGGGAATTTAGATTAATCAGAATCTCTTCTTTATTTTTTCTGTTTTCAACAGGAACTGCAAACTGAGTAACAGCAGTTTTTCAATGGCTGCTGTAGATATCCTGTATATTGATATCACGAGGAGGTGGAACAGCATGGGAATTGACCACAAAGAATCAGGTAACACAGGTTTGTATTCAAAAACTGTGCCAACTGGATTTCACAGGTAAATAACATATGAGCATTTGCATTTAGCATTTCAGGGTGACTATAGGTCATTTGTGTGGGTAGCTGATAGAATCTCACTAGGAAAAATAACAGACATGCCACTGAGTCTTCAGGCTTTGAGAAATTAAGAGATTTGCTGATGACCTCCATGAACCAGATGTTTCCCAGGTGTTAAAACACAAATCCCCACCTGTTCTGTTGGCTTTACATTTGGCTTACTCCCAGCTGCAACCAAACAAATCCCCACCTGTTCTGTTGGCTTTGCATTTGGCTTATTCCCAGCTGCAACCAGGACAGTCACTATTCTGTTGTTCTAAAACAGCAGCTTCTAAGTTTTTCCGTGATATGCTTCACATGAGTGTCACTTGTGGGGGAGAAAGTGTGTGTGCTACCAGAGGTGCTTTCCCTGCCTGCAGCTCACCGTGACTGATAAAATAATTTACTGAGCTGGCAGCTGCTGCTTTCAGATAACTCAACAATTCCTTTGCAAGCTGTTTTACAGCCAAGATCGTAAACGACCCCAGCTGCAGCCTTGGTGGAGAGAAATTATACTTCAGAATGTAATTGTCATATTTTGAAAAGGTGCCTTTCCTGCAGCATCAATAAGCCAACATTAAGTTAAAAACCCTAAACCTTTCAATATCTCGTCCTAAAATAATCTCCTTAAGTGTATGTTCAAACTGGGAGAGCCAGTTAAAGCACAAAGCAGCTCTAACTGTGCCTTGTGGCTGCCATTCTGCACAACCAATTGGGGTCTGGCTTCTTAATTAAGGATTCAAGGAGGTATTACTTCAAGGTTTTAAATACAACA